GTGAAGTTTTTACGAATGATTCATCATAGTGAGGAAGGGGAGATAGGTAAAGGATTTAGTAAGAACGGTTATAAGGGCCTACAATACGATTATTTCTTGTGCTTCTGAATCTTCTGGTTTTCTGCTGTTGTTATTGACACTGGAAGATGAGATAATAAATCGAAGCATTCCAAAATTGAAAATTGTTGCTTATCAAGAGAATTGTCATGAATTGGTCCTCCAAAATAAGAGAAACTGAATGGATTATCATATTTGTAGTTTTTTTTTTTTAAAATCAAGAACAAGTTTTTGTGGCTTTGTATTTTATTTATTTGTTGAGAAGTGGGAATAAAAGAAAGAAAAATGAAATTGGAAGTATAAGATCACAATCTGATAATTAGAAATTGGAGCTTGCCAGAGCCCATGTGATTTCTTTATGTTCTGATGATTGCCAAATTACAAGTTATGCACACTCTTTTATTCAATTTCCAGTAATTTGACTGAAAATTTTAAAATATTGCTACTGTTGTGACAATAGCATAAGATGGATGAATGTGGTGGCTAGTATACAGGATGAGAAAGATATCTAGATGTTAAATCATTTCTTACCACATTTTGTGTCGAATACTTGTGATCGCTTCAGCATGTTACGTTACTGTGCAGTATAAGGTTCTGCATGCAAAACTTAATAAAATAATATTTACAATGTTGCCCATTAGCAATCTTAGGGTCTCAGCAATTTTACAGGCCTTTGGTTTTAATTTTGTATGCTTTGCCATTGAGATTGCTGTTTTCCTTTCTACTTCAATATTTCTTGCAGAAGTTCTCCTTATAGATTATGAACCTAGTTGACTTAAATAAAATCAAAAGTCTCCTGGAGTATTCTATCTGGAGCTGCATGATTTCATATATTTTTTTTCATATTTCTATTATATGCAGTTGATGTGGTGTTGTATGTTTCTTATGCAGGAATTGTCCAGAAATTTTTGAGCTTGTGGCCTGAGCTTTGTAGAGCTTGTAATTCTTCAAACACAAGCCCTCTTTACTCAGCTGCTACCCATGGCCATCTAGATGTAGTTAATGCTATATTAGATGCAGATGTGAGCTCCATGCTTATTGTGCGGAAGAATGGCAAAACAGCATTACACACCGTTGCACGATATGGCCTTCTCCCTATTGTGAAAGTTCTAATAGAAAGAGATCCAGGGATTGTGTCCATAAAGGACAAGAAGGGCCAAACTGCACTGCATATGGCTGCAAAAGGTCAGGATACTTCAGTTTTGGAGGATCTATTGGATGCTGATCATTCTATACTGAATGAACGTGATAAAAAGGGCAATACAGCTGTGCATATAGCTACTCGGAAAGTCCGTTCTCAGGTATCCTCAGCTGGTACTCTTGGTTGTTTGATTTTTTTTTTTTGGGGGGGGGGGGGGGTTGGGGGTGTGTGTGTGTGTGTGGAATTGGTTAATGTTTCTTCTTGTTGAAATTCCTGTGTCTCCTTCCATGTTTCTTGATCAGTTAATTCTCTTTTTTTTATTTGAACCTCTAAAGGATGCAAAAATGATTTAAAGCATTTTCTGGTTGGAATATTTTCTAGTTGGATCTTGGCATGTTTGTTATTGTCTTTCTTCTTTGTTCTGAAAATCAGAATTGAAGTGTTGACAGTGGCTTATAGTGAGGTCATTTCCAATTTAAGAAACCAAAAATAGTTGGTATCAAGTTTAAAGCAGTGAGCAGGTTTCAGCTTTTTGTTTAGGATGCATTTGCCCCATTGAAGGTGTTCTGAATATATGCAGTGAGGAGAGGATTTTTGCTACTTGCAATTAGCTATTATGGCAGGAAGGAAAGGGATGAGTGATGGTATCCCACTTTACCCAATATACTAGTTGAGGAAGTGATCAGAACCTCAAAGGTGACTTTGCACAACACCATCTGTTGTAACATAATAATCCTTGGGAATTTAATATAGACATTAGCGTCTGAAGAGGTGCCTCTGAGTGATGGATGGAAGATTTTATGGCTTCTATTGGTGTGAATATGCTATGGGTAATTAGAAGGTGATGCTGATTGATCCTATAGAAGTTATAGAAATGGAGGCTAAACACAATGGATTTTTGTGGAGGGAAGATTCTAAGAGCCTTTTAGGGTAAGGAAGGATGTTTCAGCTACTTGAGACTGAACTCTGGGATACATTATACCTGTCAATACATGAAAACTAAAGTTTACTCTATATATCTCCTGTCAAGTTCCTGGGTAGTCTTGCATAATTTCCCGAGTAGACAGCCTTTTTACTTGCATTTGGGTCATGCCCTCTACTTGCTTCTTTCTTGCTAATTGTTAAAATGTGCAAGGAACTAGTCTAATTTAAAACGGTGAATTAATTGTGGTTCCATACCGTTTCTATTTAGCTATCTGGAATTTCAGCCATTGAAACCTCTCTCTCTTTTTTTTTTTTTTTCTAAACCATAGTCATTACAGGAGTTTCACTTGCTTAAAAGAGAGCAAAAAGGTGAGAAGAATCCTTGGTTTAAATGTTTGTTTTGGGGAGGGGGGGGGGTTGGGATGTGGAGGAGGGTGGGAAGTAGAGGGGTTTGCATAGAGAAGAAAATAAGCCAACATTTGCTCGTTGGGGTGGTCAGGGTTTCTTTAGTGTCAATCATGAAACCAGTCAATGTTAGACCAAATTGTATACCTTTTTGGCAAAAGCTAATTCTTAGTGTTCTTTGTTCTGGTTTTGTAATTTCATAAGCTATGGCCATTGTTCGCTTCATGAAGTGTGTTTCCTGATTCTGCCTACCCTGCTTCTTCATTTTAGGTAGTAGGCTTCTTGCTGACATACACATCCATTGAAGTCAATGTGATCAACAATCAACAAGAAACTGCGATGGACATTGCTGACAAACTCCAATATGGAGAATCAGCATTGGAGATCAAAGAAGCTCTGTTAGAGGCTGGTGCCAAACATGCAAGGCATGTTGGTCAAGTTGATGTAACAATAGAACTCAAAAGGGCTGTGAGTGATATTAAGCATGAGGTGCACTCTCAGTTACTACAGAATGAGAAGACTCAGAGGAGAGTTTCAGGCATCGCCAAAGAACTCAAGAAAATTCATAGAGAGGCTGTTCAAAATACCATCAATTCTGTAACTGTGGCTGCTGTTCTTTTCGCCTCCATTGCTTTCTTGGCTATATTCAACTTGCCTGGCCAATATATGACAGATGGACCAGAAGCAGGAAAGGCATTGATCTCTGGTACTGTTGGCTTCCGGGTGTTTTGCCTCCTGAATGCCACCTCTCTCTTCATTTCTCTGGCAGTAGTTGTTGTTCAGATCACTTTGGTTGCCTGGGATACTAGATCTCAGAAACTAATCGTCTCGATTGTAAATAAGCTGATGTGGGCTGCCTGTATGAGCACCTGTGGAGCATATTTAGCTATAGCTTTTGTGGTAGTGGGAAGGAAGAGCTCTTGGATGGCTATAACAATCACAGTGGTGGGTTTACCCATTCTGGGCGGGACGCTGGTTAGCATGAGCTACTTTGTTTTTCGACAGCATTTTGGAGTTTTTGGTAATGATTCTCAGAGACGGATCAGAAGGGCAAGTGGAAGCAAATCATTTTCTTGGTCCTATTCGGCAAACATTTCTGATCTGGATGACTATAATTCTGATGAGAGAATCTATGCCTTGTGAAAAAATCAGACATGCCCAAGCATTTCAAGAGTAACTCATCACGGCTCTGATGTTTGCCTGGAAAGCAAGGGGGGCTTGAACGCCCAAATCTGGTATGTTAAGCTTCGGCTTCTTATTGACAGTGCTTCCCTTCTCATCTTGTTTGGAGTAAAAGCTTAGTTGTGCAACTTAAGCAGTAGATGTTCATGCAATTTTCCAAGGAAGATTAGAGTTGATAATGCTACAGTTTGTCGAGATGATGCTGTAGATTTTGTAAATGCATATAGAGCTTCTTAAACATGTTGTATATTTTTGTACTACTATAGTTTCTCTCTCTCTCTCACCTGTTTAATTGTGTCCCTTGTTGACTGATCTTTGCCTAGCCTCGTCACAAAAGTTCCTCCATAGGCCGTTCAGATTGGGCGGGCAATGTTGATATATGGCACAAGAACAAAACGATGGAATGTGCTCTCTTCTTCCCTTTCAACCTTGTGGCCGCCTTTTTTTTTTCATGCTATATTTGTGCAACTCGATCTCAGTTCAGATTATGATACCGATGAAATGTTCCCTCAAATGACCAAATCTAGACATTTATTTAATTTATACTCCTGTGCACGACTAAGAGGAAAGAAATATAGATTATTTGAACACTGATCTTTACTATCGTTAATGATGACCTTAATAACCAAAGAAATTATCTGTTAAGGCAATTTCAGCTCTAGTTTCTTCATCTAATATCACCCCTTGAACCTCTGATATCTCTACCAAGAGAAAGATTAAAAGTTGTACTTAAAGACCTTGGATTTGCTAAATTTGGCAAAAGCATGGCTCCGATGGCTCTCTTGGGGTCAACATGCAGGTTTGTTAAGTCCTCCTGGTGAAAGAAATTAACCAAGTGGTAGAATGGATAGGGTTTAATCTCCTTGTACTGAACTTAATTTAGTATAAAATTGATAGTCCAGTTTCTATAAATGCAGTTGTATAAAATAGATTGTGGCATGCAAAGTATGGAAGTATCCATTAGTAGTCACACAAATTTTACACTTTTTAGGTGCCATTCTCCTCACGTCATGCCTCAGGTCACTAACCACACAGCTAAACGATCAACCTTCCACCCACTTCCTCGGCAAGAAAACGAAAGTGGAGTCAAGTCTTCCCACGAAAGTGGAAGTAAACTCAAAATTTTTCCAAGAAACTGAAAACTACAGAAACAACAAATGTAAAGGACAATCATTTTCTTCTGAACCCGCGTAGTCACAAGTCAATTCATGGTTATGTTCATATTTTTTATGGGCTGCCAGTCAAATTATTCAACCATTCCTAGAACAAGGTTTTCCAGGATATACACCAGAAAAGAAACCATGGTGTCAATTAAGTATTTACAAGTCATAAACCAGAAACTTCGATGAAAAATTCTAACTATAGTATGTGTCTGGCATGTCCCACAGTAGTATTTAGACAATGAGTTACAGAAACAAATGGATCCTGAATTGTATACAGCAGCGCATTTAGGTGATTGGGTTCTAATGAAAAGGTTTTCTGGGAACTTCTATTCTCAGAAGACTTCGACTGGAAACACAGTCCTCCACGTATTAGCCCAGTTTTGTGACTCTGCAGAGGTAGCGCGACATATCCTTGCAGGACATTTCTGTCTGCTAATGAAAAAGAATGTTCATGGCGAAACAGCACTTCATTTGGCAGCTAGAAAGGGGCACCTGGGCATTGTTCGAGCACTTATTGCATCTGCAAGACATCAATATCCTCATTCAAGATTTCGATTTCCGGGTTTTGACGGATGCAAGAGGATGCTGAGGATGGCTAATGTGGATGGCAACACAGCTTTACATGAGGCAGTTAGGAACAACTTCTATGAGGTTGCCAAATTGTTGGTTCAAGAAGATCCTGAGTTTCATTATCGCCCCAATTATGCTATGGAGACTCCTCTGTATCTAGCAGTAGAGAAGGGATATCATGATATCGTTGATCTGATTTTGGTGACTTGCAAGTCTTCATCTTATCTCGGCCCCGGTAACAGAACTGCCCTGCACGCTGCAGCTATACGGAATTCGCCAGGTAACCTTAAATGTCATTCACCATCTCTGAAAAAGCAGCAAATTTTGGATGTTTATCCATTCTGATACATTAACAGAAGACGCGGGGGAAAGCAGGGTAACCATTTTTACTCCTGGATTAAGGATCATGGCCTGAAATTATCCATTGAACAATTACATATCTTGAGTTTTAAATATTTCTGACTCCATCTTAGTCTGCTTAAGCGTCGTTTATGCTTTATAGAGCATTTGATCTATGAAGCGTCGAAATTCAACTTGCACATCATCGCTTTTTATTGATAAACAAATCAATTTGGTTTATGATATCAATTTATTCCTTTAAACCAATTTGCAAAAAGTGCAATTTAGCTGGGATAATATCTAAGTTGTGAGTTCTTGCGGTTTATTTTTAATGAACTATAATATCTTAAAAAAAACATTGGCTGCTGTGCAGAAGTGGAACTGATTTTACAGAAGCTGCCAAATCTTACAACGAAAGTCGACAAATTTGGATGGAATGCACTTCACTATGCTGCTAAATTTAATCATCAAGGAGTAGTAAGACAATTATTGTCTAAATACAAGTTCATGGCCTATGTTACTGCCAATAATGACGACTCAATGACTGCTTTACATATTGCGGTGACTCAAGGACATGTAGCTGTCATACAAGAGCTTTTATTGCATTGCCCAGATTGTTGGAAGAGGATCACATATAAACGCCAGAACATCCTTCATCTTGCTGTAAAATATGAACAAAGAGAAGTGTTGGAATTTTTCTTACAGTATTCTTGGGCTTCTGAACTCATCAACCAAAAGGATTCTAAAGGAAACACTCCTCTCCACCTGTATGTTGCCACCAAAAACTTAGATGGTAATAGCCTTGTAAATCACCCTTGTGTTGATATCAGTGCTTTCGACAATTCCAATTCCACTGTTCTTGACAACATACTTCACATTGATGAGCTTACTGGAAGACAGGTACCCGTTTTACTCCCTTCCCCTTTGCATGGTCACACTGTTGAGCTTATTAATTAAAGTAGGACACTAAAGCTTAGCCAAGGAATCAAGAGCAAAAATAAAAGAATGATCCCTTTGAATTGCCTTTTAAGAAAGTTCATTTTTGGAAAAGTCACAATACTTCCTTCTATTACCTTTTCATCTCCCGTATACAATAAGAAAGAAAATGTGACAAATTTGAAAGTTCATCGCTACGGTTCTATGTCTAATAGATTCGCTTGCCTAGGTTTTGATCAAGGAAGAGTTGGAGCGAGCAGGTGCTAGTCCAGGTTATCGAAATGTTGCTACTGTGAAGAAGAATTTAGGAGCACCAAAAACCGAAGAACCAGAAAAACTGGAAAGTTTGGCTGGGACTTATTTGATTGTGGCTACGCTGATTGCAACAGTCACTTTCACGGCAGGTTTTACCATCCCAGGTGGATTCAATGATAGTGACAGTCCAAACAAAGGGCTGGCGGTTCTAGGAAACAAAGCAATTTTTATAACATTTGTTATTTCAGATTCCTTAGCAATAATGATCTCCGTTCATGCAGTCCTCCATCTAATTTTGCTCTTGCAAAGCAACAACCACAAGTTCAAGTTAGCTATGCTCCACGGAGGTAGGGCTTCAATTTTCATGGCCATTATCCTGATGATGATAGCATTTCTGACGGGCTTGTCTTCTGTGTTACCAATGCTGCATATCAAGATTCTGTTGTGCGTCCTTGCTGCTATATATTGCTATCATATACCTTTGGACCTCGTTCAGTTTTTAAGGAACACTAGGAGTAGTAGATATGTAACTATGTTTAGACATACCGAGGCTGATTATTCTTGGTATATAGGTCCATTCAGAGTTTGGGTTCAAGATTTGACTGAAGAGGATGAGTTTTGGTAGCATTTTGTCACCAAAAAACTGCAATAATATCTTTCCTTTTCCGCATACAATGGAGGCTATGAGCTATGTAAACCATTATGGCATTCTTTTACTATTTTCAATATCTTTTCTATTACCTCTGTCAAATATCTTTCTTAGTTTTTTTGTTTGGGGAGATTTGGTGTCAATTGATTGATTTGGTATTTAGCTATAGTTCAAGAATGATAGAATTTTCAGATGCTTCTCACGCATCTTGAGAGAGCAAAATTTGTATCAGTGCAAACCTATAGATACAAAATAAATAGCTGGGCTTTCTTTTTGTTGTACTATAGATGCTAATTTAAGCAAGTAATGAACCCAAATGCTACACTAAAAATTCAGTGCTGCCAGAGTGTTTAAAGATAGGGTTAATTGCATTGACCTCTGCCCAGATTTGATTAGATAAGCAAATGGACCTTCTATTTGTACTGAAGTACTTTTATCTTCCTTAGAGATGTCCAAATTATAAAAAAGACCCTGTAGTTTAACCAACATCCAATCTAGCCTTTTGAAAGCCAACTACTAACAAGAAAATCTCTTCATGTTATCCAAGAAACACTTAAACCCAAATTAAATGAAAACAATCGCGTGCTAACAACTGAAAAATGACATAAAAGGTAGTGCAAAACTTCTTCCTCTATCTCTCTTTTTTTTTTTTTTTGCCTATGACTCATCTCTCCTATAAGGTTAATGCTATTAAACCTTAATGGTTTGTATGGTAGCTAGCGCCCCCCCCCCCCCCCCCCAAACAAAAAAAAAACACAATATGGTAGTTGAACTTTGATTGAAGAGACCTTTTGTCTAATGATTGAAGTCAGTACCGAGGATTTTGAGATTTTGGTTCAAATCTTGCTTGTCACTTTTTAAATTCCATTTGTTCTCTATTGAATAGAAAACAAAAAAAAAATGCCTTGAACAAAAAATGGTAACTGAAGTTTGACTAAAGAAATATAAGATGTAAATACATGGGCATAGAGCTATAAATTTTTTGACAGTAAAAAAAAGATTAATAGATAGAAATAGTACATGTAATTTATTAACAAAGACCAAGAAAAATAATAAGAGAAACAGAAATATATTTTACTTGATTGTTTTATGCACCATACAGCATTGGTCATGGACTTTTTTAGATTATAAAAGTGGTAGGAAATGGGATTAGGATTAAATTACTGCATGTTAAATTTTGTTGAGGACTAAATGCATCATTTTATGTGTGAAACAATAAAAGAACAATAATAGGGGGAGGATTGGATTGAATAATAAGGTAGAAAAAAGTATAAGTACAAGGTTTTGAAAAAATTTTCCACCAAAAAAACAAAAAAAAAGGAACAATAATGCCCAATTGAAAATTTTCCTTTCCATTAATTGGTAGCAGTACTAGAAGGCAATGATAGGAAGTAACTATTAATCGTCAATGGGCTAGCTTATAGGCTTAGAAGTGCATGGGCAACGCCGACCTTATGGGCCAACACACCTAAGCCGACAAAAACATTAGTAATGCCCACAGAAGAACCTCTTTCATTAACACAGACCAAGAAAAATAAGAAGAGAAACAATTATATTTTACTTGATTGTGATGCATTATACAGTATTGTTGCCATGAACAGTAATAGATAAATAGCCACTTTATTTGGAGAATTAGGTTTAGAGACTACTATGAAGTATTTTTTTTAATTTATTTTTTTCATGTAAATGAGGCAATAAAATTTTCTTAATGTGCAAGAGATGTTCACAGAGTAGCAGCATGCAACTGAGATTGTGCATAATCGTAATCATCCTTTATAAACAATTTGCCTTTTTCAAAACCATGTCATGCCAAATAACGATAGTCAACTTGAGATCAAAGTACACAGCATAAGTAGATGACAATCAGCTAAGGAAAGCACATCAAATGAAAGAAAAAAGGTTACAACAATTGCTGACACTAAGAAATGACAAAGAAAAGGGCAGACAAGAATCGCATGCAAGGAGGACTAGAAAGATCTTCAATTTGGAGTCCAGATTCCAATTCTGATACCTTTCTCTACATATTAGTTGAGCATCAACGTGCAAGAGTTTGATACTTTTCTTTATACCTTACTTCGGCGTCGTCTCAGTTCAGTCCTGATTACTACTTCGACATGGTTTCACTCTAATTAGATAGTCACTGTGATACGTAAAGAATATACATTTTCAAAAAATTTATTCCAAATTTGATACATTTGTCTACAGATTACTTCCGCATCAATCTTCATAAATTTAATACTTTTCTTCACATCTCAGTTCAGTATCATATGATAAGTGCAGTCCTGATTACTCTTCGATTATGACTTCATCCTCAATTAGCTAGTCAGTGTGATATCAATTCCAGAATATCCATTTTCAAAGCATTAATCATCAAGTTGGCATATTTTATTGCTCCTGAACAGTCAAGACTTCAGTACGTTGCAGCTGCAAGAAAATGGATCTTGAATTGTATGCCGTACACTATTACAAAAGAATTAGGGGTGTACATAAATTTAAAGAAGTTGAACATCATAATATTCAATTTTGTTTGATTATTTTTACGAGTATAAAACGTAGCTTATGAGATTCTATCATTTGTGCGGTCAAATTTTCTAGGATAAAATGAGTTCTACTACGTTCTTCCGCCTCAGATGATTCTGTCATAGTTTCAAGTGTAGGTCTAAATCAGAATAGTATTTTGAGCATCCCTACTCTGGTACCATGTAAGAGAGGGGGGGGGGGGGGAAGATTTGGAAAACTATTTTTGTATTTCTCAAGGATTTACAATGACGCAACAACTATAGTTATACCCTTCCAGTAATGTAGGTTACATTGGATCTGGACATTATTTTAACTTAAGAAACTAATCTAATCAACAAATTGCAACAAATTTGAGAGTTCCTTGTTACCATTCTGTGTCAAACTAACTAAAGCAATTGTGTCAAACTCTAACTAAAGAGTTGGAGCAAGAGGGTGCCACTGCAGGATATCAGAATGTTGCCACCGTACAGAAGAGAAAACTGAAGAAACATAAAAAAAAAGGAATAAAAGACTGGCTACACTGGTTGCATCAATGGAGGGGCATGGCAGTTCTAGAGAAGAAAGTAGTATTTATTAGGTTTGTTATTTCGGATTCACTAGAAGATTAATATATTGTAATAATACGTGTGCTTTATAAATAAAGGCAAATATATATATAGCAATAGCTACGTAGCCACTTTATTTGGAGAATTAGATTCAAAAACTAATAGGAAGAATTTACTATTAATTTTTTCAGGTAAATTAACTAATAAAATTCTTATAATATGCAATAGATGGTAACAAGCAGCAGACCTAGATAGTAGATAAGTCGTATTTGTCCTCTATAGAAAGAATTAGCCCTTTTCAAAACCGTATCATGTCCAGAAACGATGCTATACTTGAGCTCGGAGTAAACGGACAAGTGCATGACAATCACCTAAAGAAAACGTATAATGGTTTGTTCATGACATCTTTAAAGGTATGTCTTGTCGTTTTACATGTGTGTTACTTGTGTGAAAGAATTTTAAGGGGTCAAATTGGTGATAGATCCATGAAAGGAAGTTTACAGGTAACAAAGTTGTTGGTGTTTTCATTTTCAATTATGGAAGATATCTTGAATGTTCAATTATGTGAATCCATGTTGGATTTTCAATTGCTGTTATATAATTGATCCGCTTTAAATCCGCTCCACAGGTTGGATTTTTGCAACAGAGGAGTTTTCTCCTTTAAAGATCAGCCAGCGGATCATGTTAGATCTGCGGGCCGGATGCATAATCTGGTCATGGATCAGGCCTAGTTTGTACGGATCCGTGGACAGATCCAACAGGATCCACGGGCACAATTCATAAAAATGGTCATGGAGTCATTTGAAAATTCATATTTGATTCTTCTTTAATTTGGTTCTCGGATTCAAAGGTTAACCTTGTTAAATGACTGAAAGAAAAGCAAGCTTGCACAAGGAAAGGAAAGAGGATTAGAACAATTGATGGACAAGGAAATAACAAGGAATGGGGCAGACAAAATTCGCATGGGAGATGTATTACAAGATCAATTTGGTGTCGGCATTCCAATTTGGATACCTTTCTCTACATATTAGTTCAGCATCAATCTGCAAAAATTTGATACTTTCCTCTGCATCTTAGTTCAGCATCATCTCATTTCAGTCCTGAATCCTGCTTCGACGTGACTTCATCCACAATGAGATAGTCATGTGACACACGATTAGCAGAATATACATTTTCAGAGCATTATTCCCACTTTGATACGTTTCTCTACAGATTACTTCAGCATCATTCTGCATAAATTTGATACTTTACTGTACATCTAAGTTCAGCATCAGCTGATCAGTTCAGTCCTGATTACTGCTTCGATTATGGCTGCATGCTCAATGGCTCCATCATCTCAATGGGCTATATAAATTGCAGAATATCCATTTTCAAAGCGTTAATCATCAAGTTGGCATTTTTTATTTCTCCTGAACACTCAAGACTTTAGTGCGTAGCGGCTGCAAGAAGATGCACGCCGAATTGTATGCAGCTGCACAGTCAGGTAATTGGGTTGTAATGAGAATATTTTCAGACTACTTCTACTCTCAACATACTCCAGTAAAAGACACAGTCCTTCACGTATTAGCCCAGTCATGTGACTCTGCAAATTTAGTCCAACTTATCCTTGCTGGACATGGCCGTTTGCTTATGAAATTGAACAAACAGGGCGAGACTGCACTTCATTTGGCAGCAAGAAAGGGGCATTTGGGCATCGTTCGAGCACTAATTGACTATGCAAAATCGGAAGCAGGACGCTGGTTCCCCCCATGTTTTGACAGGCGCAAGAGGATGCTGAGGATGGCTAGTGTGGCTGGAAATACAGCTTTACACGAGGCAGTTAGGAACAACTTCTATGACATCGCCAAATTGTTAGTTCAAGAAGATCCTGAGTTTCGTTATCCCCACAATTATGCTGTGGAGACACCTCTGTATCTGGCAGTTGAGAAGGGACGCCATAATATTATGGTTCTAATTTTGGAGTCTTGCAAGACACCTTCTTATCTTGGCCCCGGACACAAAACTGCCTTGCATGCTGCCGCAATTTGGAATTCGCCAGGTCACTTCATGGATAAGCATTTTTTATATTAACATGAGCTCCTGTTCCTTCTTTTTTTTTTATATATATTTTCATATTTTGATACAGGGGAATTAATTTTTTACCTTGTGTTAAATTTGGGCTTTGATGGCACAAGCGATTAATGCATCAAAAGGGATTTATGAAAAAATAATTAATCTGATAAAATACCATTTAATAATGGGTAAATTACTTATTACACCTCTCTATAATTTTATATAATGTAGATGATCTCCTAAGGTTTTAAAATAGTCACATAATCCCCTTGTGATTTTATGTAAAGTGAAAAATGAATAAAATGCATAATTAGTTATAGCGTTTATACCAAACACGCTTTCAAAGCGTGTCTAATAAAATTTTAATACCCCTGTAACCACCTTATGGTTTCTATAAATATCCACTTTACCTCATATGATTTTTGCATTTATCCACGTAATCTCCTTATACTTTATTCAAAATGGTTAAACTATCAATTGATTTAACATTTAAATAAAGATACTATTGATATTTCAACTAATGATATGTAGGCTATTTTTTGTCAAGTTTTCACATTACATAAAAACCATAGGGGGTGAAGTGGACATTTTGAAACGTTAGGGAGTTATGTGGCAATAGATGAAATCACAGGGAGGTTATATATAATTTGCCCTTCAATAATGTATTCTGTATTGTTTGTACATATTTATCCATTAACCAAAACTCTTGTTTAATTTACACAGTATATGTAAGTTGCTGTAGTGTAATTGATCTTAATGGTCCAGTGAATAACAATATCTTCATATGTTGTGCTAAAATATTAGCTACTTACAGAATCCATGAAGCTGATTTTGGAAAAGCTGCCTAATCTTATAAAGAATGTCGATAAATTTGGGTGGACTGCCCTTCATTATGCTGCCAAATTCGATCATCAGGAAATTGCAAGACTATTACTGTCTGCTGATAGGTCTACTGCCTATGTTGCTGCCAAGAATGATGACTCCAAGACTGCTCTACATATTGCGGTAATTCATGGACATGTAGTTTTGGTGCAAGAGATTTTATTCCACTGCCCAGATTGTTGGGTTCAGATTATGGGTAAAAGTCAGAATATGCTTCACCTAGCTGTAAAGCATGAAAAAGGAGAAGTCTTGGAGTTTGTTTTACAGAATTCCTGGGCTTCTGATCTCATTAACCAAAAGGATAATAAAGGAAACACTCCTCTCCACCTGTATGTTGCTACCAAAAACTTAGATGGGAATTGCCTTGTGAATTATCCTTTTGTGGATGTCAATTCTTTCGACAATTCCAACTCCACGCCTCTAGACAGAATAGTAGGGGATGATCACTTTTCAGAAAGACAGGTATAAGATGTTTTTTCTTCCCCTCCCCTTTGCACGATCATAGTGATTATTAAAAATTTTTTCAAATTTTCTTATATGAACTTGAAAATTTTAAATTATTATAAAATTTTATTTTTAGAAAATAGGAAAGTTAGATTGTATGTTATAGAATATTCTTAACTACTAATCCTCCCAAGTCTACCCCTATTTTTTAAGACACTCAGGCATTGTGTCTGTAATGCTACTAGAATTCTTTTCATTTATGTAGAAAATATTGTGTTGTGCTTGTCATATATTTGAAGTACACTTAATCATATCATAGAAGTCTTAATTTTAGTTTATTTTTAAATAGTGTTAATTTTGTTCGTAAATACAGTAGATATTTTGTTCGTTAATTTTACTTTATGTAAGTGTACCAAACAATTTTGTAAGAAATACAATAACCAAACACAACCTCACCAAAGTGTAAACACAATTGCCGCACGGCTCTTTATAAATCAAGAAGAACACGGTGTGGTTTATGAAAAACGCAAAAAGAAGAAGAAGAAGAAAAAGATGGTCCTGTTTTCGTTTTATATTTTTTTCAAAACCAGTTTTCTTAAACTCATGTTTCCCGTTTTCTTCCTGAACTGTTTTTTTCCTTTCCTCACATTATATCTGCTTTAAATATAAGCTTTCTACTTTGATTTATAACCAGTATTATCTAACCAATCTTGTTCAAGGTGAACATTAATTAGTCTGTCTAAAAACAAAAAAAAATGACACTTCTAATTGGAAGGATCAATAATAGTTTTGCATGCTATCTAATATCCTTTTCTATCACATGTGCAAATAGCGTTGGAAGAGTACACCAAGGCTCGCTTCATATTTTAGCTGTTACAATTTTGTTTCTCATATCATTTTTGACAGATTTTAATCAAGGATGAGTTGAAGCAAGCAGCTGGCACTCGAGGTTATCGAAATGTTGCAACCGTAAAGAAGAAATTACGAGCAGCTAGTCCTGATGAAATAAAAAGAGTCGAAAAATTGGCTGGGAATCATTTGATTGTGGCTACACTGATCATAACAGTCACTTTTGCAGCTGGTTTTACAGTTCCAGGTGGATACAACAGTGACGGTCCACGCAAAGGCATGGCAGTTCTAGGCAAGAAAGCAGCTTTTATTATATTTGTTATTTCAGATTTCTTGGCAATGATTGCCTCCATATATGCAGTGGTTGGACATGTCAGGCTCTTGCAGTCCAAAAAGTACGGGCTTAAGTTGGCTGCTGTCCTGACAATTGGGGACCGAATTTCTCAGGCTGTGACATTCATGATGATAGCATTTCTCACTGGCTTGTACGCGGTGCTACAAAATTTGGCCGTCATGATCGTGCTGTGTGCCCTCGCTGCTTGGCTTGGCATTGACATATTCGTAACTTTTTGGCCAAAACGCCAGTACAGGAAATACACCTATACAACTAGATTTAAGCATAGCGAAGCTGACTATGGCACATTTGTAGGACCATTTATACAATGGCATCAGGATTTGACCAAAGCCGCGGACTAGTTGTTTTATAAGCAAATGGTAACTTAATAAAATAAAATAAAAAACTTGATTCTTTTCTTACTATAAGAAATTGCAGCTCTCTCCCACTTTCATCGAACAAATTGCGCCCCCAAGGAGATGTTTGAAAACTTGAGGAGCTTTTTGCAAATTTGCATCGGAATGGCAGTCAATTTAATCCTTCCGACTTGGTGTCTAAAAGAATGGCTAGAAGAATTGCTACATAATTTAGATTATATCCAGATTAACAAAAAAAAAAAAAAATTGAAGAATATAGAGGTGGATGAACTTTTGTATTTTTGCAGCGGAACCTTACAAAAAAATTGCGTTTGCAGGGGGTTTTTATTTGTATTGCAAGGGAAAAGAAAAGCACAAAGGCATCGGAGGAGTTTGTTTTTCAAAAACTCAATAAATTAGTTGATGAGCACTACAATGCAACAATGAAGGAAAGTATTCAAGGATTCGAGATCTCTCAAGTTGATTTGTTATCAAATTCAAACTAATTGTGAAATTCTCACATCCGGTGTAAATTAGTATAAATTTGATGTAAGACTTGAATATGTAATTTAGACAACAAAATTTGTACAAAAACCTCGATTACACCCAAATTATATTAATTTACACTCAATGTGGTTAGATTCACTCAACCAATTTGAATGAGAACTTGTAAGGCCTCAAATCCATTGTCCTGGAACCACGACTACCACAATAGATGTCTTCGGAATTCTCAACTCACAAATTGGGTAACAGGAAATGTTGTTGCAGCTGCAAGAGGTAAGGCATTTCGTACCAAAAAAATAAAAAATAACATATGAGGTATTCACATCAGGAAGGACAATGGGGCCATTGTCGGGCAGACACAATTAGGACTCAGGCCCAATTAAGATTTTTAGTCCATAAAAACTCTGAATGGAAATTTTTTAAGAGCAGGGCCTCATGGGGGCTCCAAATGTGGAGTAGCCCAAAATTTCGCAACTTCAAATTTGTCTTTGTGCCCAAAGGCCATGAAGTATCAACAATTGGGGATGACCTGAGGGAACAAGGAAGAAGTGTAAAATTTAAAAACGGAGAGGAGAAGGGAAAGTATATTAGTTAACTTGTATACCACCATGAACAACGAGAACATGAAGCATCGCTAATTGGAGACGACCTCGTTAGTTTTCCCTCCTTGAAACAACGAAAATGTATAAAATTTAAAAAACAGAAAGGAGACAGGGAAAGTTATTAGTTAACTTATTAACATATCTAGTCTATGCGGGAATGGGGAGCTTTTCAATTGAGTTCTGATTGCTGATGTGGCGGGCTTCTATTGGCCGATTGGTGGTCGTCTGTTTCGTGTGAATTCGCTCGCGTGAATTGGTCGTCCAGCCGATTGTTTCTTTTCTTTGTTTGCTTGGACGTCTACATTGGAAGCCTGCCGCTAAATTGTGGTCCCACGTCCTTTTTTTTTTAATTGGATTGGAAGTGCTTGTTAATAACCTTTTTTTGGATGCTACAGCCCCTCTGATTCCCTTATTGGATTGGAATTACCTCTAATTACAAATTATTTGCAATTTGTTGTTAATAATCGATTAATAATGCCGTGTTTTTAATCATTCAACCGAGCATGTTTAATTAGCATTTTTTCCAATTATTAGCAAAAAAACCGCTTTTTTGTGGTTGTTCAAAAAATCACATTTAATTATCAAATTTTTTCCAATTAATTGTTCGTTAGCTGATTAATAATTTCAATTTTTATTACCTAACAAATCACATTTAACTGTCAACTTCTTACAATTATTAACATATTTGTAGTTTCCAAATAAATCACCATTACTTATCAATTTCTTGTAATTGACTTATATTAATTATTAACACGTGTTTTTTTTTTTGGAATGAGAGGGGAAGGCATTCGACTATTATTATCAAATTTTCATTACAATTTTATTTGGTATCGATTCTACGTAAACAATCAACAATGTGATGCGCTTCCGCTGGTGTCATTTATCATTTATGCACGCCACGCACCGCGTTTGATTATCGATTCTCCACTATTAATTGTTATAACTATTTATTTATCTTTTTTATTTGGATTCCATTTTTTTACCCAATAAATCACTTTTAATTACCAATTTTTTATTCTTAATTGTTAATAACTAATTAATGATGTCATTTTTTTGGTTACCCAACAAATCATATTTAGTTCATGACTTTTTTGCAATTCTTAACCAAAAAACAAAAAAAACCCTTGACCGTTCGCAAAATCGCGTTTGGTTACCTTTGTTTTCCAGATTTTATTAAGGAAATGCCTTCCTTTATCTTGGGTTACCCAACAAATCAAGTTTAATTATCAACTTTTTTCCAATTGTTTTTTGTTAATTAAGTTCTAATTTTGCTGTTTTATTGCCAGACAAGTCGCATTTAATTACCGGATTTTATAATTATTAAAATTTGTTACCCAACAAATCGCATTTAATTACCCGTTCTAGGTAGCTATTAGCCAAAATTTAGCCTCTTTTTTTGGTTGCGGATTGAATCATATTTGGTTGCCCTTTTTAACAATTGATTGCTAACTAATTAATTAATATTGTTACCTTTTTGTTGCCCGACGATTTGCAATTAAGTACCAGATTGTTGCTATTAATTGTTAGTTAATTAATATGTCTACGTTGCTCTTCCTTGAGAAAAGTGCTTCCCACGGTTTTCAACTAATTACCTGATTGTTGCTATTAATTGTTAGTTAATTAATATGTCTACATTGCTCTGACTTGAGAAAAGCGCTTCTCGTTACTCTTTTCTTCTTTGCCTTTGGCGGTCCTAATAATTAATTGCTTCGTAATTAACAAATTTTATAAATTAACATACTTAATTACCAATTCTTTGCCATTAATTATAGACGGATTTTATTTGTTTCTCGATTTCTTCATCCACCGCTCACATAGTCACATTACTTGTCATAAGCCTCCAGCCTCCTTTTCTTGACAGCTGATTGTACCTCAGCTGAACACTACCTGTCTTATTTTATTATATTGCCCATCCTTTGTCGCTCCATTTACGCTTCCTCATAAGAGTTCTTGTATTCTTTTTGTCCTTTGCTTAGGGTCATGTCTGTAAATCTGCAAGCTACCGTCACCTCTTCCCGTTGTCGCCCATCAGCTCTTTTGCTCCCGTTGATTGACGCTGGCTTCTAATTTGCATTTGCACGGTGGTTATAGAGTTCCTCCGATTTTCCATGGCAGAATTTTTACTGCTCGACATCATGAACAGTGGTAATTGTGCATCTACTGCTTTCTTTTCCATATTCTATTGCTCTGTTTCTTTGCTAGAGAGAAAGAGCTACCTCATAAGCGTTGTCCTTCATTTTCTTTAGCTATTTTGGACCTTTCTTTTCCCGATTTTTTTGCCTTGGTTTTAATTTGCACTGGTGTTGTTGTCACTGCTTCCTGGTGAGCATCTTGATTTTATAGTTTGGTTTCTTTAGTTTTTTCTCTAATTGTTCGAATATTTTTGAATTGCTGTTACGCTGCTTTGTTTTCTATTTCTTCCTTGATTCTCTACTTTCTTGTGCACTGGTTCGACCATTTTTACTTTTCCCCTGTCCCTGCTATATTTTTATCACCAAATCAGCTTCTTTTTTTTTGTCGCTCGTGTTTTTTTCCACCTTTTCTTATTGCCTCTTGCTTGCTCGTGGTTTCTTTGATAGCTTCTGCTGTTATTCATTTCTGCGATACTGGACCTCTTTATACAAGCAGGTTAGTTATTCTCATTTTGTTTTCTTCTTGTTCTACTTTCCTGACAGGGGCCGAACCTGTGCAATAATAAAGTTAAACCTATTTGCCAGTTAAAATGACTAAAATCCAATTCCAAGTACTGGAGCAGGGACTCTAGGTGTGCAATGGGTTACTTGATTCACCCTGTTCCCGAAGAGTTTGCTTGATCCGATATACCCGAATGGAATAGCTAATCCTTTTCACAAATGATTAGGAATTTGTAGACAGGGCAAGTAGGGTCGTATCCACAGAGACTGGGTATATTTGTTTCTTAAGAAATCCAAAGTAACACAGGGGGTGATTTTGTAGGAACGACGATGATTAAATAAATTCAAATGAGAAAATAAAAATAAACAACTAACTAGAAACTAAACCACAATTTACTGAACTCAGGATAACAATAATTAAAGGGCTAAATCAATTAAAACAAGGAAACATTCAAAAATAAAATAAAGTAGGCAAGTAAAAGTCAAATGGCACTTCACTAAAACCAAGATAATGTTAATTAAAGATCTAGCCAAGAAGTAACTTCAGCAATGGTTCACCTAATTGATCACTGATGCAAAGGCAATCCCAATTATTTACCAATAAATAGGTTATAACTACCAAACAAGCGATGGCAGTCAACCCCTCCTTACTGTGTCGGTGATCAAGGTACGCCCGTTAATTACTGCTCTAATTGAGAAATAATCCTAGGTACGCCCGTAGAATTTAATTCCCCAACTGCCTTACGTATTAGAGGAGCCCTATTCTAACCAAATAACGCACTACCAGGGTTATTTTAGATTAGCCCGCGTACCCCCCTGACACGAATCTAATCGTGCCAGTTGTCACTATTTTGAGGTAATTAGACAATTACAGATTTAATACCCCAATTGACAATAGACTACCCAATCAATTAATTATTCGGATCCAAGACAACCAATTAATTAAATAACCATAAGCATAGAAATCAGGGAAGATGCGAATACCAATAGATAAAAGGAAAAGATTAAATTAAATCGATCTCACAAATTTTTTAGGCGAACCAGAGCCTTCGTTGCTCCTTGGCTAGAAAGGAGGAATTTAGCTCATATTTGATGCGTAAACCTCAGACAAAATTGCAAAGAAAATCGCGGTCATCGTCCGTCTAAATTTTGACAATCCAATTCGTCCGAATACTGAATAAATAGAAAAGCTACAGAAGGCCATTCATGGCTTCCATTCCGTTCCACGCACGAAGGAAAAGAAGAGAACTACTAAGAGTAACTAAAGAAGAAGAAAAAGTCAAAGCCAAGGATGGCTAAGCTACAAGACATTCGTAAGTTTCTTCCCCAAAGAAAATCAATCCAAAAGAGAAGTCAACAAAAACGGCTAAGCTACAGATCAAGACCCCAGCAAAAGCCAGCTCACTTTGTGATCCCTTTTTCTCCCTTCTTATTGCGGCGGCTCACCAGGAGGGAGAAGCCCTCCGTCCGTCGTTTCTTGCGGAAATTACCAAAATGGGCATCATCTCCTCTTTGCCAAAAATATCCCTGGAATAAGCTCTGTGGCTTGGACATCTTTTCTGTCAAACTTGGCACTTGTTATCGTATTTTCGTTCTACTCCCTGAAATAAATGCAAAATACTAAAAATGAGTAGAATCCTGCAATTAATCCACATCAAGTCAGGTAATAGGAGGAATTAATAATAAAATAAATGAATAAATTGCAGCCTATCAATCCCCCCCACACCTAAACCATGCTTGTCCTCAAGCATAAGAATAGTAAAACAGATACCAAAATGTGATAATGGCCATTGCTCTATCTACCAAATTGCCAAGATATTCAAGAGGAAGACATATATCGAGCATTGGTGATTAAAACCCAAGAAACATCCCCCCAGTTAGCCTCTAAACCACAGATTCCTTCAATTTCCAAATTAACTACTCTAAGAAAGAGGAATGGCACACAACATTTATCAGCTAATGGTCCGAATATTCACACAAGTCTCCATATCTAGTGCATAAACCGGCAAGCTTCCCTATTATTTAGTCTCTCTTTTTTTTTCGTTTTTTTTTTCCTTCTTTTTTTTCTTTTTAAAAGCAGTAATAATTAACACAAAAAGACTTAGTCGTTAGCCGTCGGGGCTTTTTGACGCGAACTCCAACATTTTTAGATGGAGGAGCCCGGTTACTCAGCTCCTACCGCTATCCGACCACGTACTCATATAAAATACCACCTTTTGACGCGAGAATCGACACTTTTAGGTGCCGATCCCCGGTTACTCAGTAGTAACTTCATAGCGGAGTACAGTCAAGCTTATTCACAGCCAAACAATGCACAAGCGCAAAATAACAGCACTAACAATCAAACATAGGAGCAGCTCGCCTCATTATTGCCAAACATGGAGAACTGGAGTCAATATTGGACCAGTTCACATTAAAAGGCCATAGTCATTCCCTATGCCTAGAAAAGTTAACGAAGAAATCGAAAGAGTCAAGCAGTTCAATATTCACCAAGGAGATATTCAGGACCCAACCACATCAACCCGATACATACTTATTTTAAAAACTTGGCAAAAGTAGAATTAGAGTCAATGAGCCAACATCCAATCAATTTTTTCCTCTTTTCTTTTTCTGTTTTTTTTTTTTCAGGAGAGATAAGCACCAAGAAGAAAGAAAGAAAATGAGCAACTAGAAATAAAACTAAAAACTAAAGAAAACTAAAAACACTAGCACCCCATAGACCCCTCCCACACCTATAGGACACATTGTCCTCAATGTGACAAATAACCAACAAAAGTGGGTGAGAGGACATCAACACTTCCCTGAAATCCGGTCAAAGAGGTGGGCGAGGTGGAGCTGGAGGAGGAAAGCCCGTATGATGCAGAAATTGCGCCAAATTCTGTGCTATGCCCGCTACATTAAGGTCGACGTTGAGCATTCGAGCCTCCAAATTCTGAACCCGCTCCCGGAGTTGTTGCCATTCAGTTGACCCATACGGTGGAGGTGGCGCAGAAGATGACGGCCCAGCGGTGTCCTCGGCCGACCCAGGGAATGAAGAGTGCCCCGCCTGCGTTGAAGGCCGTGCACCCGGAGCTCGAACTGGGCCTGGAGGGGTAAATTGGTGGAAACCATTGGGCAGGCGCTCGACGACCCCCATTTTCTCTAAGCAGTTCACGTCCAGGAGCTCCATCTCGAAAGCCAAATGTAAGTCGTGGTCCTCCAGACTAAGAACCCCCAACTGCGTCGCCAAGTGGGTAATGTAGGACCCAAGAATCAGAGGTTTGTTCTTCTTGGTCAAAACAGTCTTGAACTGTGTAGCCAACCAACACCCCAAGTTGACCTTGATATTGTTCTTCATACTCCAGAGGAAGAAAAACTCAGGTCGAGAGAGTATACCGGAGCTGTCCTTGCGCCCTGAGTAGCTGTAGGCTAAGAATCGCTGAACATAGCGGGCACTAGAATCCTTAAGAAAGGAGCTCCTAGACCTAGAAGGGTCGTAGCGGTGTCGATCGACTGACATTTCCTCCCACACATCATGGTATTGGGAGAGAAATGGCTCTATGTAATCACAGGCACTCTCCGCATACTCCCTAGTTTCAGCATACTCTCTCGTGATAAATCCAAATGCCAGATTGAACTGGGTAATGGAAAAGTTGAACTCCCTACCCATTAGACGGAAATGAATGACATTTGGTGTTTCAACGGTGTATCTCGTAGGCAACTCGAACTCAAAGGTGGAGTAAAACTCCCGAATCAGCTCAACAAAAGCAGGGCAGGAGATATCAAGATACGGGCACCACCCAATGGCGGTAAACATCTGATTGACCTCCTCACGTATACGCAGGGCAGTCATAGTGATTTTGTGACAAGATTTGCAGGGTATAATACGCCTCTCACAGACCTTAGCGTATCTCTGCCGATCGGCGGGTCTGGTAAATGTTAAGTGCCCCCCAAAGTGAGCAGGTGTATCTACCTGAGCACCCCTACCCCTACCCAAACGGGTTCGAACACTAGAAGAGGAGGGTAGGTTGGTAGGGGAGTTGACAGGAATAGAGGCTTGTGGAGGGGGTTGAGACTGAGAGGCCCTAGACCTAGAGGAGGATTTTGGTCTCACCATGATTTGGAGCAATCAACTTAATCAACAAAAGTCCCAGCAAATATAACAACTTGCCAGTGCCAACAATAAATAAAGAAATGCCAACAAACCAAGGGCCCAGCAATTGCTACCCGGCAATATCAGAAGTAACTGAAGCAAAAACCCCCCCAAAGAAACCTCAACAATTCCTCCAGCAATGCAAGCAAAATAGACCTCCCACGTTAACAATCGACTACAGTATGTCAGCTCAACCCAAAATTTTAACAAGTGGCTCCAGATGGCCAATTAAACGCACAATTGCACCCAACCCAAAAGAATTAGCAATTCCAAGCAAATATAATCCAACCAGTACCACTGGTGGAAAATCACCCAAACATGCGGGGAACCAAATAGCACCGGCAAATACTGAGAAATTGGGCAAATGTCAAATACCTCCACTAGGACTACTCCAGGCGGCAAACAGAGAGGCGGAGGTGAAGCTGGTGGTGACTGGCGGTGTCCGTGTGCAGCGCACGGCTGCCTGACTGCGGTGGGCAGCGGCGGCGTGAGCAGAGAGGCTACGGGCTCGTTCGTGGGTTGCGGGTCGCAGCCAAGGAGGAACGGCGGCGCGCGGAGGCGCGCGGAGGGGCGCGTGAGGAGCTCGCTGCGGCGGGCAGCGGCGCGCGGCTGTGGTGGAAGTGGAGGTGGAGATCTCGTGGTGGATGGCGGAGGTCGCGGGCGAGATGGGCGGCGATGGAGAGAGAGATCTGCTGACTGGCGGCGGCGCGCGGACAGAGGCGCGGCGGGCGGCGATGGCGCGCGGCTTCGGCTGGTCGAGCGTGCGCAGAGAGCAGGGGAGTAGCAGAACAGCGGAGAAGAAAGAAAAGAGAAAGAAAGAAAAAGAAAGGAAAGAAAAGAAAAGAAGGAAAAGAAAGTTTTTTTTTTTTTTTATTTTTTTATATTAATAAATGAAATTGCTACGGTTAAGAGGAAAAATTTTCTTGCTCTTGGTTTTTTTTTCTTTTTTCTCGTTGTTGTTTTGTTATTATTTGAATAAATGAAATAATGATAATAATTTTTCTATATATTTTTTTTTTTGAATCCTTACCTTTCCCGCGAACGTGACGCGGGCACGTCAAGAGGGCAGGAGAGCTCCCAGAAGTTTCAGAAATTCCTGATCGTGAGCGTCCTGCACATCACCACGCGGGCACGTCATGAGGGCAGGAGAGCTCCCAGAAGTTTCAGAAATTCCTGATCGTGAGCGTCCTGCACATCACCACGCGGGCACGTCATGAGGGCAGGAGAGCTCCCAGAAGTTTGAAGTTTCTGATTCCTGCCCGTCATCACGCGGGCGCGTCATAACTGAAGGTCACCTACAAATCAGCAAAAACGAAAACTAACACCCAAAATCAATCAAATTCAGGGAAAGCAGATTTAAACCATGCTACGAAACCAACAAACAATTAAAAGAAATAATTGGGTTGCCTCCCAATGAGCGCCTATCTTTAATGTCTTTGGCTAGACATGGTAAAGTGTCACTGATTAGGACACGGTGGCTCGTCTAGCCTAGTTGTCTCCACCTCTCTACCTGAAAATCCTTCGTAATAATATTTGAGACGGTGTCCATTCACCACAAATTTGTTGTCTGTCTTAGCACTTTGGATTTCAACTGCACCATATGGAAAAACATGAGTCACAATAAAAGGTCCAATCCAACGGGAACGTAGCTTACCTGGGAATAACTTGAGCCTGGATTGGTACAGGAGAACCTTCTGACCAACTTCAAATGTTTTTCTTGAAATTTGTTGGTCATGAAATGCCCGGCTTTTCTCTTTATAAATCAAGGCGTTTTCGTATGCTTCGTTCCGGATCTCCTCCAATTCTTGCAAATCCAACTTCCGTTGAGCACCGGCCTCCTCTAAATTCATATTGCATTGCTTTATCGCCCAAAAAGCCTTATGCTCGAATTCCACTGGAAGATGACACGGCTTCCCAAATACCAACCGGTACGGTGACATCCCTATAGGAGTCTTGTACGCCGTCTTATAGGCCCAAAGTGCATCTTCCAACCTTTGGCTCCAGTCTTTCCTATCAGGGCGCACCATTTTCTCTAAAATGGACTTAATCTCCCGATTTGTCACCTCCGCCTGACCATTGGTCTGAGGGTGGTATGACGTTGAGACCCTGTGGAGTACACCATACTTGCGAAACAACGCAGCTATGGTTCTGTTGCAAAAGTGCGTTCCCCTATCACTGACAATAGCTCTAGGCATTCCAAACCGCACAAAGATATTAGACCTGATAAAATCTGCAACTACTCTCGAATCATTAGTTCGAGTGGCCTTAGCCTCCACCCATTTAGACACATAATCAACTGCCAGCAAAATATATAAAAAGCCAAATGAAGTAGGAAAAGGCCCCATGAAATCTATATCCCAGACATCAAAAATTTCAACAAAAATCAACGGGACCTGGGGCATTTGATCTCTACGGGCTATATTACCTACCCTTTGACAGCGATCACATGACTTACAAAACACATAGGCATCCTTAAATAATGAAGGCCAATAAAATCCACTTTCCAAAACCTTATGAGCAGTTCTCTTAGGTCCAAAATGACCTCCACAGGCAAAAGCATGACAAAAAGCTAAAATTGATTGAAATTCCACTTCACTTACACATCTCCTCATTATTTGGTCTGCACACCTTTTCCATAGGTACGGGTCGTCCCAGATGAAGTACTTGGCGTCACTCTTCAATTTATCCTTCTTCGATTTTGGCCAACCTGCAGGAAAATCACCCGTTACTAGATAATTGACTAAATCAGCATACCAAGGCAATTGAGAATTTAAGGAAAATAAATGCTCTTCAGGGAATGCATCTTTCAATGGTTCCTTATCCTCCCCAATTGGTATGCGACTTAAATGGTCTGCTACTAGATTTTCTGAGCCTTTCTTGTCCCTTATCTCCAGGTCAAATTCCTGTAGTAGCAATATCCACCTGATGAGTCTCGGCTTTGCATCTTTCTTGGTCATTAGGTACCTTAATGCTGCATGGTCAGAAAATACAATTACTTTAGCACCTAGCAAATATGACCTAAATTTTTCCAAAGCAAAAATAACTGCAAGAAGCTCCTTCTCAGTGGTGGAATAATTCAACTGGGCTCCATTCAAGGCCCGGGATGCGTAATAGATGACATGAGCTGCCTTCCCTACTCTTTGCCCCAATACAGCCCCAATAGCATGATCACTGGCATCGCACATGATCTCAAATGGCAAATTCCAATCGGGGGGTTGGATGATTGGGGGTGAAGTCAGCAATTCCTTCAGCTTGTTAAAGGCCTTCTCACATTTGTCATTGAATTCGAAGGTCACATCCTTTTGTAGAAGTTGGAACAACGGGGCTCCAATTTTTGAAAAATCCTTGATGAACCTTCGATAAAAACCTGCATGTCCAAGAAAAGAACGCACCTCCCGCACACTCGCGGGGTAAGGTAATGCAGAAATAATGTCTATTTTAGCCTTGTCAACTTCTATGCCCTTAGACGATACAATATGACCTAGGACTATTCCGTGCTCAACCATAAAATGACATTTTTCCCAATTTAGCACAAGATTAGTCTCTATACACCTTATCAGGATCAATTTCAGGTTATCTAAACACGTATCAAAACTATCACCATACACACTGAAATCATCCATGAAAACTTCAATAATTTTCTCCACGTATTCAGAAAAAATACTCACCATACACCTTTGGAAAGTCGCAGGTGCATTGCACAACCCAAATGGCATTCGTCTGTAGGCAAAGGTCCCGAACGGGCACGTGAAAGTTGTCTTCTCTTGATCCTCCGGGGCAATTGCTATCTGAAAGTATCCTGAAAATCCATCCAAAAAGCAATAATAAGCTCTACCAGCTAAACGTTCAACCATTTGGTCAATGAAAGGGAGAGGGAAGTGGTCCTTTTTAGTGACGGCGTTCAGCCTACGGTAGTCTATACACTGCCTCCATCCAGTGGGTTTGCGCACTGGCACGAGCTCACCCGTTTGGTTGGCTTCTACCGTTACTCCTGCCTTCTTCGGGACTACCTGAACCGGACTCACCCAAGGGCTATCAGATATTGCAAAGATGATCCCCACATCTAGCAGTTTTAGAATCTCTTTCTTTACAACTTCCATCATGAGGGGGTTGAGCCTTCTTTGAGCCTGCCTAACAGGTTTGGCATCGTCTTCTAGCCTAATCCGGTGCATACAGATGGCCGGGCTTATCCCCTTAATGTCTGCGATTGTCCAGCCTATCGCCTCTTTATGCTCCCGAAGGACTCGGATCAATTTCTCTTCCTGGATTTTTGACAGTGCCGACGAGATAATCACCGGGAGTGTCTCATTATCACCCAAATATGCATATCTCAGGTGCTCTGGTAGAGGTTTCAACTCCAGTACAGGTGCCTGCACCACAGATGGCAATACCCTCTGATGAGGCTCGGGAGTAAAAATAGGTAAGACTTCATACCTTTTCCTGGTGGTCTGCAATGAGTGTAATGCACCTATTGTGCATTTTAAATCCTCACTCCACTCCACCTGAGGAGTTGTCTCCAACTCGAGGTGCTTGGTTAAAGCCACCTCCAACTCATCCCTGCCATCAGTTTCAAACACTTCCTGCACTACAGGATCAATAGCACTCACAGAGAAAACTGAGCTAAAGTTGGAGTTCGAGGGGTATTTCATAGTATCAAAAATATTAAAATGCACAATTTCCCCATCAAACTCCATGGACAAGGTACCCTTATTAACATCAATTTTCGTCTGTGCAGTGCTCATAAAAGGTCTACCCAATAACAAAGGTGAGGGATCAGGGGAGTGATCATCATCCATATCCAGTACATAAAAATCAGCTGGAAACACCAAATCATTAACTTTTACCAATACATCTTCAACCAACCCATCAGGATATGCATTAGTTCGGTCAGCTAATTGAATGATAATTCCAGTTTCTTTTAATGGACCTAATTTTAGAGAAGCATAGATAGACTTAGGCATGACATTAATTGATGCTCCCAGATCCAACATGGCCCTTCTGATCACAGTATTACCTATCCTACAGGGAATAGTAAACATACCTGGGTCCCCGCACTTTGGTGGGAGCTTTCTCTGCAGGACCGCTGACACATTCTCCCCAACAATAACCCGTTCATCCCCTCTCAATCGCCTTCGGTTGACACACAAGTCCCTTAGGAACTTGGCATATTTTGGTACTTGTTTGATGGCGTCTAAGAGGGGGATATTTATCTCAACCTTGCGAAAAACCTCCAAGATTTCCCTCTCCTTATCCTGCTTCTTTGATTTTTCCAACCTGCTAGGAAAAGGAGGCGGGTTAGTCCTAACTGTAATTGTTGGGTCAGGAAGTACCTGTGGATCTGCACCATTGCTGTCCTCCCTTTCGAGCTCACTTTCGATCTTCTCTTCATCCTTGTCCTTGGGGATCACAGGCTCAGGCCCTTGAACTTCCTTGCCACTCCTCAAGGTCATGGCGCTCACATTCTTCGGGTTCAACTCAGGTTGAGATGGCAATTTACCTTGATTTTGGGCATCCAAGCGGTTGATTGTTGTGGCCAGTTGACTTATCTGATTCCTTATGTCCTGCATTTCGGAGTCCGTCCTTTGCTGATGTTGCATAATGGTTGCCTCCGTCCTTTGCTGATTTTGCATAATAGTTGCCTCTGTCCTTTGCTGATTTTGCGCCATGGTTGTCATCATTTGTTTCATCATCTCCTCCATAGATGAACCGGATTGAGGGGGCTGAGGTGGTCGGGGTTGGTATTGCTGCTGGTACCCTGGTGGCTTATTTGGCACAAAGCTAGACTGCCTGTTCGGTGTAAAGTTGGGTTGCCTATTCCCTCCATAACTGAGGTTGGGATGATCTCTCCACCCGGGGTTGTAGGTGCTTGAGTAAGGGTCGTACTGCTTCCTTGGCGCGGGCGCGTGGTCTGCCATGTTCACCTGTTCTGCAGTTTCTTCCTGAATCATTGGGCACATGTCTGCAGAGTGGCCTATACCAGTGCAAATCCCGCATACCCTGGCTTGTGATGCATTTCTCACAGCCTGTTGCCTAACAAAAGCAGTCAACTCATTTAGCTGCTGCTGCACAGAGGGTGTCTCTATCTCATTCACCCTACGTATTGGAACATCCTCTCTTGTACTGAATTGCTGTGAGTTCTCTGCCATCCCCTCTATTAACTCCCGTGCTTCCTGAGGGGTTTTGTTCACCAGTGCCCCTCCACTTGCAGCATCAATGATGCTCCTGTCTCTAAAAATGAGTCTCTCATAAAAATATTGTATGATCAACTGCTCACTTATTTGGTGTTAGGGGCACCTGCGCAACAAGTTCTTATACAGTTCCCAATACTCGTAAAGTGACTCCCCTGGATGCTGTTTGATCCCACAAATTTCTTTCCTTAGACTTGCAGCCCTGGATGCAGGAAAATATTTATCCAAAAATTTTTTCATCAATTGGCCCCACGTGGTGATGCTACCTGGTGACAGGTAGTACAGCCAGTCCTTCGCAGAATCTTTCAAGGAGAAGGGGAATGCCCTCATTTTTATCTGCTCTTCTGTGATTTCCGGGGGTTTCATACTGTTGCAAACAACATCAAACTCCTGCAGATGCTTATACGGCTCTTCACCTGGTAAACCATGAAAAGAGGGTAAAAGCTGAATCAGACCAGATTTTAGTTCAAATGGAATGTTGTCATTTAAAGCGGGGAAAGTAATGCACAAAGGCTGCTGAGTTAAATCAGGAGCAGCCAACTCCCTTAATGTTTGTGCATTAGCCATGGTTCCTTCCTCCTGGTCAGAGTCACTTGAAGTGTCACCAAACGAATCTGTTGGTTCAACTTCTGACTCGGGTCTTTGAGATGTAGCCCTGGAGTGCTCTTCTCTGAGTTGTCTGGTTTCCTTTCTCGTTCTACGCGCGGTCTTCTCTATCTCGTGGTCAAAAATCAAATCACCTGTACGAGAAGATCGAGGCATACACTAGAAGAAGACCAGAAAATTAGGACAAAATTGAATTTAAAAAGAAACAAATAATAACGCCAGTCCCCGGCAACGGCGCCAAAAATTGACAGGGGCCGAACCTGTGCAATAATAAAGTTAAACCTATTTGCCAGTTAAAATGACCAAAATCCAATTCCAAGTACTGGAGCAGGGACTCTAGGTGTGCAATGGGTTACTTGATTCACCCTGTTCCCGAAGAGTTTGCTTGATCCGATATACCCGAATGGAATAGCTATTCCTTTTCACAAATGATTAGGAATTTGTAGACAGGGCAAGTAGGGTCGTATCCACAGAGACTGGGTATATTTGTTTCTTAAGAAATCCAAAGTAACACAGGGGGTGATTTTGTAGGAACGACGATGATTAAATAAATTCAAATGAGAAAATAAAAATAAACAACTAACTAGAAACTAAACCACAATTTACTGAACTCAGGATAACAATAATTAAAGGGCTAAATCAATTAAAACAAGGAAACATTCAAAAATAAAATAAAGTAGGCAAGTAAAAGTCAAATGGCACTTCACTAAAACCAAGATAATGTTAATTAAAGATCTAGCCAAGAAGTAACTTCAGCAATGGTTCACCTAATTGATCACTGATGCAAAGGCAATCCCAATTATTTACCAATAAATAGGTTATAACTACCAAACAAGCGATGGCAGTCAACCCCTCCTTACTGTGTCGGTGATCAAGGTACGCCCGTTAATCACTGCTCTAATTGAGAAATAATCCTAGGTACGCCCGTAGAATTTAATTCCCCAACTGCCTTACGTATTAGAGGAGCCCTATTCTAACCAAATAACGCACTACCAGGGTTATTTTAGATTAGCCCGCGTACCCCCCTGACACGAATCTAATCGTGCCAGTTGTCACTATTTTGAGGTAATTAGACAATTACAGATTTAATACCCCAATTGACAATAGACTACCCAATCAATTAATTATCCGGATCCAAGACAACCAATTAATTAAATAACCATAAGCATAGAAATCAGGGAAGATGCGAATACCAATAGATAAAAGGAAAAGATTAAATTAAATCGATCTCACAAATTTTTTAGGCGAACCAGAGCCTTCGTTGCTCCTTGGCTAGAAAGGAGGAATTTAGCTCATATTTGATGCGTAAACCTCAGACAAAATTGCAAAGAAAATCGCGGTCATCGTCCGTCTAAATTTTGACAATCCAATTCGTCCGAATACTGAATAAATAGAAAAGCTACAGAAGGCCATTCATGGCTTCCATTCCGTTCCACGCACGAAGGAAAAGAAGAGAACTACTAAGAGTAACTAAAGAAGAAGAAAAAGTCAAAGCCAAGGATGGCTAAGCTACAAGACATTCGTAAGTTTCTTCCCCAAAGAAAATCAATCCAAAAGAGAAGTCAACAAAAACGGCTAAGCTACAGATCAAGACCCCAGCAAAAGCCAGCTCCCTTTGTGATCCCTTTTTCTCCCTTCTTATTGCGGCGGCTCACCAGGAGGGAGAAGCCCTCCGTCCGTCGTTTCTTGCGGAAATTACCAAAATGGGCATCATCTCCTCTTTGCCAAAAATATCCCTGGAATAAGCTCTGTGGCTTGGACATCTTTTCTGTCAAACTTGGCACTTGTTATCGTATTTTCGTTCTACTCCCTGAAATAAATGCAAAATACTAAAAATGAGTAGAATCCTGCAATTAATCCACATCAAGTCAGGTAATAGGAGGAATTAATAATAAAATAAATGAATAAATTGCAGCCTATCATTTCCTCGTCATGTGATAACTAATTAATGATGCAAGAAATCACATTTAGATGCAATTTATAATGTCGTTTTTTTGGTTACCCAACAAATCACACTTAGTTACCATTTTTTTTGTTTGACGAAAAAAATTACCTTAGGCAATGCAATTAGTAAAAGTACTTTCCTCCTCTTTTGCGCCAAAGAAACGATAAGGCGTGTGGGCGTGGCTCGAGGTAACCACTCTCACTACAACAAAAATACCCTTTAGCGGCATTTAAAGGTGTCAGTATAGATAATCTAACCTGACATGTTACCTTTCCTCACACCTGGGACGAGTGTTGTCCCTTCCAATATGGGGATAGCCTCGTAGCATTAAAATATGTCAGGAAAACTATGTTGTTATAGCATCTCATCTACCAACAAAAATATTTTTCTTGATAATTGAAAGTGTCAAGATAGTTATTCTACCACATTAGAATATTGCTTTAGAAGCTACGCTATGCTAACACTTTTAATTGCTAGGAATACATAGGTAAAGAGAAATTAATCACACCATATAATAACACCGAGATCCAATGTAGAACAACAAATAATCCTTCAGTTCATTCATGCCACAATTATGTCAAATATACAAGTCTTTGAACTTTCCATTGAAACTCTAAGTTCTTTCAGAAGAAAAGAAACTATACTAATCTAATAACTTCGCTATAGATGCCATTCCGTACCTATAAAAAAATCAAACAACTAAAAGGAAGACCACCATTGCCTGAATTCAATGACATAACAATTCAAAAAAAAAGGAAAACAAAGTTGATATTTAACTCCATGGGTCATCCCATCCCTTGGGGCTCTCTCTTTTGACAAAGTTTAACATTGCCTGGACAGCTTCCTGAACTCTGTTGGATAGGGCATGGTTTCCCCATTCAATTTCAACCTTTCTACACCACCCATTGCTCTGCACAGATTCAGGAGCTTCAAGTGAACAGATATTTTTTTCTTCCCAAAGATGGTTTTGCATTGACACCTTACCAATCAACTCTTCACCAAGGCATAACCTAGCATCGGACATGACAGAATAATCACGGTAAGGACTTCCAGAGAATACCCACCTTCTAATCTTCTTGATGAATTCCACAATCGGGCCATGTGCATTGTATCAGCATGGAAGCCAGCAAGTTTAAGTCCATAATTCGCTATAACATGGTTATCAAAGCTATAGTTGTGCCACACCTACAGAAAAACAAGCCAGTGCAGTTCCCCACATGGCATATAATCATTCGAAGAACTGATGAGCAACAAAGAGCCCCACACAGAATTACATACAAAAAATCTTTACCTTTTTAATTGACGGGTCTTCAAAAAAAGGAGCAAATTCAGCCAAAAGATTCCTCCCGTCCTCATCAAGAAGATCTACCCAGATACAAGACTTGCCATTTCCAAAATTCGCTTCCGATCCACAATAAATACTGCAGCATACAATTTCTCCATGATCAACTGGTGTTTCCTACTTAACATCAATCTTTGATACCTAGACATTAGCAGAAACCAGTAAAATGAGCTCCCAAAAAAAAATTGAATGCTACTGGAGAGAACATGAATATTAAGCGAATAAGATAATTAAAGTACAGAATTCAACTGGTTGTATGCAAAATTGCAAATGTAAAATAGTCTAAAAGCAAGTCAAATGAAAAACATACTTCCGTGTCACATGCATGGACCATATGCCTGTATTGATTTGTGAGCATACCAACTACTTCCTTTGCAGCAGAGACAGTATCAACCACAAGAACCTTGTCATAAATGCAACCAAGCCTCTCACGAAGATTTGACTGGATAATAGCTTCTGGTTCCACAGATCCTTTTCCTGTGGGGGTTCCATTTATTTTGTCAACACCAACAGACTTTTCAGCAGCAGCCTCCCTTTTTGTTACATTATGAGCACTGCCTTTATCAATTGAGGGATACTTTTCTTTCTGTTCTTCGAATAATTTTGGCAGGGAAATTTTAGGTTGGGAAGACTTTGGAGGTAACTGCATTGTCCTCGGAGAGATTTTCCAGTGTATATCTGCTTGTTGGCTATTTGATGTATAAGACTGTCTGCTACTTGAAAAGTTGTCCTTCATCTCACGATCTGGTGCAATTGTATTCACACTTACGATATTCGGTAGGCTAAGGTTTCCTGAAGAACAAGCTGAATCATGAACATTTCTGAACGAGAGAGGTGAATTACTAGTAGATGGACAAGATAAGTCATTATCAGTGCTTTGTTGTCTAAATTTGTGATCACTTCCATCTGTCAAACTAGGCAAACTAGAAGTCCGTTCAGCACGATAAGCTTCCTTTCTTCTCTTATAGTATTGAGTCACGTCACCCCAGGATTTGTAAGTAGGCCTCTGATAGTCATGCACAAACACATGACTCCTACTTCATATCTTCACAACGGAATGATCAGAAGCAGGGCCATTTGAGACATTTGAGAAGGATACGTAGCCAGAATGGGTTTTGCAATATTCTGGCCTGAGAGTCACGGTGTCATGAAAGCCCAAAGCCAACAAAATACTCAAATAAAATAAATGAAAATACATTATTTTGTCACACAAATTGAACTCATGACAAGTACAAACATTTGCATTATCAAGTATTTATCCTATGTTTAATGAATTTGTACAAATCTCAATAGCATTACAGCTCTCTCTGACATATGGTGCTATGGAACAGATATTCTTACAGCAGAACAGAAAAGTAGTTTTCAAGTGAACAAAAGTGCAGAACAGAAAAGTGAACAGATATCCTTACATGTTCATTTCTGACTATGTAAACCCAAATCACCAAATGACAAAAAATATTACCCAAAAAGAACTCAAAATCAGACAAAAGTAAACAAAAGAAAATTAGAGAAAAATTAGAGAAAAATAGAAAAATAATAGAGAATAATACCTTAAGATACTTAAGCTTCAAATTTCCATAGACGACTCCAAACGTGAAGGCTGAAGCACGAGCCACCTGCCACCAGTTATACGAAAACGAAAAAAAAATCCAAATTAGATCAGACATCAATGAAATTGTGAGAAATTAAAGCTGGCGGAGGTGGATGGTTAACCAAGGCGAGAGTGCTAGTACCGGAGTAGGGTCCAGGAGGAGGCGACATTTGCTGCTGATCGCTGAAATCGAAGAAAGAATAACTGCAGATGCTGCGAATACTGCCCCAAATCTAAGGTCTCTCTCAGACTCAGAGCCCTAATTTTCGTCAGACACCAGTTTGGAAATTAGAAATGTTGGGGAGATGGGCGAGGGCTTCCCTTAGCTCCTGCATTATTCAGTAAGGAAAAAGGCCCAAAAAGGTAACTCTTTTTGCAGGAAACCACCAACCAAATTTACATATAGAAAATTGCAGAGTATAACCTGTTCATCGACGACATCGATATCTGCGAGCATGCGGCTGGATTTCTTACCGGAATTGCCTAATTCGTTTGCTAAGAAATAATTTTTGGAGAATCCGAACTCGTACTTTTCGATGTCATGTTGTTCCATTTTCTGGTTTTGACGAACCTAAACCTGATGATGAGAGGGAAGGAGTAGGGGCAATGGGATGGCGGAGGTAGGGAGCAGAGGAGAGGAGAGTGGCCGAGAGAGGCGGAGGGCAAAAATTTAGGCAACCGAGAGAAATCAATTTAGGGCAAAAATTTATCATGCAATTACATCCCTTCAATGGGAAAGCAAGGGTAGTTTGATTGCGGAGAGATTCAACAAAAAAAACTCTACGGGAAAGCAAAATTTTGGCCAAGAGTTTTGAGAGATAGTTTGCCGAAAGAGAGAGTTTCTGCGAGAGATAGAGAAGAAGCAAAATTTCACTGGGAGGCAAAATGAAATTTTGAGATTTCACTAAGTGTTTTGGCAAAGGGATCTTCCACCAAAATCAAACGACGTCGTTTTGTGTTTCAATTTTTTTTGGGTGTATCTCACATTTCCGCAAGTGTCATAATAGGGAGTCTAAAGGTACATTATTATTTTTATGTCAAATAAAATTAAAAAAAATTAGAGTATATATTATTGAGTTGATAACTAGTGTCATGATAGAAGTGTTATAATGGCACAAACCAGCAAGTGTCCTTATAGACATGTCAGAAAAGACCATTTTTGTTGTAGTGTCTCCGCTGCAAATCACCTATCCATGACTCGTTTTTCTCGATCATCTCTCCTCACTTCTCTTTTGTCCATCCAAAATCATCTTTCTTCTCCATACCAAAACCTCTGAAGACTCATTTTATGAAGAAGTCTTCCTTAAATTCAACTCTCCTTTTATCTCCTCCTCTTCTATCTAATTTTTTCCCCACTATTGGAAGCTGAAAATCTGATACCAGGTTCTTTTATATAGTTAATTTGCTATTTTTATGCCTAATTTCTTACTTCTTTTGGACCACAATTTTTTGTGTGATCTTGTAGATCGCTCACTATTTTTTCATCTGGCTACTCACAGGTTTTATTTTCTCACCTTCATTTTCCCTTTTCTATGTATAATTTCTCCCTTTTTTGCTTGCCATAACTTTTCTGTATAATTCTTTTTTTCTTTTGGGAACCACAAAAAATCTCCCTCGGCCTCTGAGAAGAGGAAATAAAAGGGTGTTCCAAAAAAAAAAACAGGCAAGTCTACTTAACTCGCTAAACAAAATCATGATCTGTTAATATTTTGTTTTGTTTTCTTATCACCTAGATTGACATGATTTGCATATCTTGAAGACTAATGGAGCACGAGAAGAAGGAAAGAATAGTTCAGTTTTTGGCAAAATGTTCACTTCAGGTTTGCCTTTGACTTTTTTTTCTGACAATTTTTTGTTGATCTTTCCTTGGCTAAAAGCAACAAATCACCTTTCCCCCTTCCTTTGTGTCCTTTATATGTTATGCTTTTGGATTTTATTACAAAGGAATATATTCAAATTGAAAAAGTATTGCGTCGGTATGAACTGGTTATGAAATTTTGGAAATGCATTTTAGACGTTTAGTGCTTAATGTCTGGTTATTAATTGGGAAACACAATTTCTTCACTTCATGCTAACCCTTATGCTTTATTGTCATTTTCTTGTTCCTTATTGTGGTCTCACATATCCTATGATAGATGTGATGGTCTAACATATTAATTATCTATACTTTCTCAAAAGTTTCAAATGTTTGTTGTAGCTTGAGATGTTAAGATCTGCGAATTCTTTTGTCAAGGTGAGCATTGTATGGGCTCTCTGTTTTTTTCCTATAGAGAAAAGTTAATATAATTTCATTTTTCCTAATAAATTGGATTTATCTGATATTTATTTATTGTAAATTTTTGTTAGATAAAGGAACAAAGCAAAAAGGAGACTAATTTTTTTCATTTAGCCTTAAAGGTATGTTTTGATGTTTTAGTGTTCTCTTCATTTTTTTCTTAGCATTTTACTATAATTTTCTGGTCACTTTACCCTATTTACTATTCTTGAAAAAAGTAGAGGATGAAATTTTGTGAAGGTACTGCATTTCCTTTAGATTTAGAGTCAGTTCCTTTAGTTTTTACCTATTTTAGTAAATTCATCAATAAGAGGTTGCAAGTCTTCTTTGGCTGCTCCATTCCAGTAAGATCTTTAGTCAAGGTTTAATAGCAATTGTTTTCACCCTATTTCATTGAAAGTTATGATTACTGATGAAATCATTATAAATTTTTTTCTCTGCTTTGATGGTGTCATTTTTGAATTACTCTTTATACGTAGTAATTTCTAAGAAAATGATGTACATTGACTGATTGTAGCTTTTGTTACTCATTGTCCTGTACCTTCTAATGCTTTCGTGTTTGAGTAGTTGAAATGATGTAACTGAAATGGCTAAAAGAACCTCTAAGATAAGATCTTTGTATATAGAAAAAGAATGTTCATGTGCTCCAGCCCAGTTGTCAGTTTAAATATTGCTGCCCTAAATTTCTAGCCAAATTGTGTATACTGGGGAATGATCAATAGGTGGTGATTACTCCTTAGCTTCTCTACCTTTTCTCAATTAGGCAACTAGAATTTTCTAACACCTTTATGTAAAAAAGAAAATTAAAATCTAAGAATTACATAGAGAATAAATTGCATTTCAGGATTTAAAAAATAAACTCTAACAAAAACCAAACTAATATATTGAAATTTCTCTGTAGCTTTTGCTTGATTTTTTGGAGCTTTTTGTTCTGTCATTGAGCTTTTTAAGAAAGAAGAGAAAATTTTCTTTTAGTTTAAATTGATGTCCTATGTTCATTCATGTTGTCTTGGCAAAAATGTGGCATGAATGAAATATAACTACATGATTTATAAGCCAAAATGCATGTTGTTTTTTTATTTTCTGTTCTTTATTTATTTACCTAGCATTCATGTTTGAGAAAAATTGGCTGGCAGGAGGTATTTATCAAAATAAGATGGTGGCTCAAAATGCATCTGCTATTTGTCGGCTTTCTATTCTTTATTTATATATCCAACATTAATGTTTGAGAAAAAGTTGAATGGCAAGAGATATTATTCAAATATAATGGTGGCGCTCAAACTTAGGAGTACGGAATGTGTTCTTGAAGACTTTGTTTTATATTTCATGCTTTAGTATTTCCTTAAAATTTTGCAATGAAGTGTGGCAAAAATTATGGGTGCGTTACCTGTGATTTAACAAGATTGTCATTCTACTATTTACACAAAATGTTATTAAATTCTAATATAATTCCTTCTTGATATTTAGATAGCTGGAACTTGGAAGCTCATGGTTTTTTGTCATGAATGCTTGATACTTTGTTTTCTCCTTTCCAATATCTTTAGCAAAAGTCATTATTTACGTCAACAACCACTTGCTATAGTATAGATATCAAACTTTGTGAAGATTTTTTTTGAAATTTTCACTACTAATACATAGTTCCACTAGAATTGGCTGATTGAACGCGGCACTAGAGACTAGATAAGAAAAGACGAGAGGCATTTCTAGATATAGCTGTCAATACTTCTAGATGAATGTATCTTATATCTTAAATTGTAACTTTTCACAAGTAATGAGATGCATTGTACAGTTGGGGAGCTTACCTCAATTATGTGTTATTATGCTCTTCAACTTTATTAGTATTATTTCTTTTCTTAATTGAAATGTTGACAAAATACTTCATTATCTACAACATACAGAAAATGATAAAAAAATAATTTTTAGTTGGAAAAATACATCCACTGAGGGCTCTGGTTATATTAGCCTTTTAACTTTCCACTGGGCATATTAAACTTGTAACATCACACCGCACATGGTGCGGTGTTCCTCTCCTAGTATATACAAGTACTAGTTCAGGTGAAATTTACTACCACTACGAATCCTTTTTTTTTTAAAAAAAAAAAAACCACAACAAATCTACATGGGTCAAATCCTGAATCCAGAATTTGAATGGACCTATATACCAAAAACGGCCAGCTTCCCGTATTTCAAAATGTAGTTATGCAGGTGCTGTTCCTTGGCCTACTCAAGAGAAAGTACATTAATGAGGCTACGACATATTAAATGAAAAATAAATAAATAAATAAAGGGCAAAGGCCATTAATGAGACTACGGATTTTTCTAATTGGACATTGGACATTAATGAGATGAGACTACGGATGCTTCTAGTTGGCCACGCTACTATGCACTCTCTGAACTTTTTCAACTTTTCAAAAACAAGAAGCACCGTGTTTTTTGTGTAATGCACTAGGCGGGATTTGAACTCCCGTGCGTGAGAAAGTTTTAAAGGGGCTCTTTTCAGTTATTGGATAAAAGTTTTATGGTTCACTCCAAACTCATTTACAAGCTTATTTAAACTCTCCTGTAAAGTAGTAGGAGTGGGAATAGGTTAGATAGATATCATTGCAAACAAAAAAAAAAAAATCGGCCAGGTAATTTCCAATTAGGCAAAGGAACCAAAGTGCATAATATCCAACAGGATGTAATATATCCTAAATCAATTCAAATTTCGTTGGATCGGTGGTTTCTTCTCTTCTTGTTCTGGTAGTATAATAATTTTTGAGTATAATTTCCAACAATAAAGCAACAAGTCTAGATTCTTTTTCAACGTGGGAGCTTCGGAGGAGTTGAGGTACCTTGTCGAATTAGCCATGGTCGGACTTGATAAATTGGTGGCGTATTAACCTACTAGAGTGTTTCGTAGTATATGGACACTGACATACTGCATCAATTTAAAAAAAGCTGGTTTAATTTGACGGAAGCAGATAAAGAAAAGAAATCGAGTTTCTCTGTGAATCTGGCTTCTTTCTTTTGGCTGAAATGATTAAAAAAAAAAAGTTTTGACTAGCAATATGGTCCTCCCTAGCTGAATTTCCAATTCGACAAGCTTGACGAATTCAACAAACCACAAATGGAAAGAATAAGAGGCTATTTTGGCGACTTAATGATGCTATTAAGATCGTTCTCAAGCATGCTAACATTGACACTGAAAAAAAAAAATTTTGGCTTCGGTAATGAATCTAATGATGCAATTAATTATGTATGACGACAATTACAGTTAATAGGACATGAACGCACAGGACATTCACATAATTACTTACCTTGGGGTTACGTACACGATGATATTACAATTAACAGGATCTTATAACTATTTATATCCTATGTTTTCTATCTTATAGTAGTAATTATTTTATAGGTGCGGTCAATAGCCCAGGAAAATGACCATTTTTGTTATGTGTAAAGTGGTTAGAATTAACTCTTTTTTTAAAAAACATTTTACAATTACGTAGAATTAGAACACAAGTTCTCAAAACTTGCCTCAATTG